TATGGGATAAGATTTGTGTTAGATAGGCCAAGTTGTTAGGGACGCACGGCATGCCTCTTTCGATTTATTGATTTTGCAGTTTGTGGATTTCCGTTGCTTAGAATTTTATCAAAATAAATTGACAAAGCCGAAACACTTCGCACTTTACTCCATATAACTCTACCTACTCTTTTCGATAGCACAAATGGGACTACAACTCTTAATGAAAAAGTTATGTATCTGAGATCTTTTTGGAATCCGGTTTTTGCCTGTGTAACTGGAAATATTGTGTAACTTTTACCTGCTCCTCACGCGTTAATAGGAGAAACAGCTTGAATTTCAGACGTCGCTGCTTCCACTTGCTAACAAAACCATTCCGTTTCATTCTATCAAAATTCAAGCTTCTCTTCGTAATCGCCTGCTACTCCGTTTTTGGTGCTTGGCTCTTCATGGCCCTTGAAGTAAGCATTCCTCATGAGAAGATTTCTGCACATACAAAATATTATTTTCAGGTACCCACGGATCTTGCAGCCAAGGAGGAAGCTTATCATGCTCGTCTTATCGCCAGAGACGTCATGATTCTCAAGTCGGCGGCAGTAAATTTTTTTGTATGGCTTTATCGCAATAAAGTATAATTTCAGCCTGCGTGCTATACACCAAAATAACAAAGAAGACAGGGAACAACGCTGGAAGGAGGCTATTCTCACTTTCGAAAATGATCTTGGACTGGAAGAGCCTTCCAGAGAAAGCGCTTGGACGTTTTGGATGGCATTTCTGTATGCCGGTACTATCTACACAACAATAGGTAGGAGCTAGAGCATTTTTCGAACAAAAAAGGGCAAACTTTCTTCGGCTTTGTACTAATTCTATTGAGGTTACGGTAACATCGCGTGTGCCACAACGGCAGGTCAAATAGCAACTATTATCTACTCAATGATCGGCATTCCATTAATGCTGCTGATCCTGAACGATCTAGGAGCATTCCTGCTAGTTTGGGTGACCCGCATTGCATGCGGATGCAGCGACTTCTTACTTTTCTTAGGTATGCGTTATGAAAGTTATTTCTTCTAACACCATGCATTCAGGTGTTCGCAGCGGAATCACAAAATTGGAGGAAGATTCGAATGATAAGTTGCGATACACCATCATTAGTAAGAAGCTCGTGAA